AGGAGAGTGAGGTCATCAACAGGTAAATAGTCATCAACAGTAGAGTGTCATCAACAAGTTAATATTCATCAGCAGTAGAGTGAGGTCATCCAATAATATAATCAATGGTAGAGTGAGGACTCATCAGCAGGTAAGAGTGAAGGTTCATCAGCAGGTAGAGTGAGGTCATTCAAACATAGAAGTAGTCATTCAGCATAGAGTGATCATCAGCAGGTAGAGTGAGGTCTCACATGGTACGAGTTGAGGTCATCAACAGGTAGAGTTGAGGTCATCAGCAATGGTTTAGAGTGATCATCAACAGGTAGAACGTGAGGTCATCAGCAGGTAGAGTGAGGTCAATCAACATACGATATCATCAGCATTAGAGGTATCATCAACAGGTTAAGTAGTCATCCAGCAGGTAATATCATCACAAAGCGTAGAGTGAGGTCATCAGCAGGTAGAGTGAGTCATCAACAGGTACAGTGAGGTCATCAACATGGTACAGTTGGGTTCATTATTTTGAGGACAAAAATCTGTAAATTAGATTAATTTAGTTCATTTAATCTTTAAATCATTTAAAATATAATGTAATCAACAGATGACCTCACTCTACCTGTTGATGTCAGCGATGTAGGCGTCAGTGAGGATGATGCGGTGCCTCCCCCTCTCCAGGCCTCCGGCGAGCCGCAGCGAGTACAGGTTGTGCTGGTCGATGATGTTTCTGACGGCTTTTTGCCACAGCAGCTGCTTCTTCCTCAGGGTGGGGGCGGGGCTTATGTTTGTGCTGAAGGTGATGTCACTGGTCTGCCGCGATGCCTCGCAGTCGCCGTTCTCCAGCGTGATGCAGGTCTCGCCCATGGTTACCTCATCTGCGAGCTGATTAGTGGAGAGATAAAACAGTAACACTGAACACAGAATCAGCCCGATTATTTTAGGCTTTTATTGTGAAACGTCTGTGGAGGAAGTGTGAGTATCACTGATGGTACACCGAACTGAACCTCTTCTTAATGTTATATTATCAGTATTAGGGCCCGGCCTGTATTAGGGCCATTTGATAACTATATCTAATAAAAGAGAGTAAGTTGTATCTGTGAGTTCCTTTAAACAAAAGACTGAAGGTCTGTCAGTGGGACAGTTGGCCTGAACACATGGCGTTGGCCCAGGTCACAGGCAGGTTGACGGCTAATCCAATCAGGTTACAGACGTGCTGGCTCTGATGCGAGCACACAGAGAAAAGGCTTATAGGATGAGCTAACTGAGTTCAGTAATGTAACATTATCTCTGCTACTATTGAATCCAATAAAAAGCAGGACAGCTAACGTGAGCTTAAACTCTGATAACATGCAGGACTTATGGTGAGATCCATCTGAACCGGGAAGTCGGAATTTCCAAGTTTCCGGTCTGAGATTTCACCTGGAGCCTCTGAAGTCAGATATCCAACTAGGTTAAAACTGTTTTTTGCACTTCTGTACATACAGTACTGTCCAACTTTTGTCTGTGGATGGTTTGTATGTGAACGAAGAGTTATCAACTGCTACTGCTAACAATGGCTAATGGCTAACCTAGTTAGAGCTTGGTTTCCATCTACAGTGTGATGTCATTCCCCAGCTCAGACTTTGGACTTCTGAAGTAAATGGACTCACACATCGGGGACGTTTCAGTCCAAAAAACATGGACATGCTAACATTAGCACCTTTTGTTTTTCTCGCGTTTTTCCGGATCATTTAATTATAATTAGCAAAAGTCTTTTGTAAATCTGAATGTTTCTGGTTTAAAATGGAGATATTATGCTTCTCTTTAGTTTGTGGCTTCTGTACAAGAGACTGAACGTTGACAGTAGCTACAGGTAGCAGCTAAAGTAGCTTACTGCTAACAAGAACTTATATTTCCTTTTATACACTGTAAAAACAAACTGGCAGCTATAGTTCCCAGAACTTCACTGTAATAAATACGGTACAATTACATTAAAAGGATATTAGTACTGTTGATTTTAAGTTGGAGTTGTATAAATACAAGGTTTTAGCATCAACAGTAAGATATCAGTGTTTTCCTGTTACAGAAACCACATTGAACCTTTCTACAGTTTTCACTCTTTTACTGACATAGTTTGACAGTTTTTCACTGTAAAATGTAAATTTTTTACAGTGTATGTTTCATTTCATCAATGCTTCACATAACAAACTGAAACAGTGTGTGTGTTTCAGACATACTTGCAGCCGTGTCGATGTGTTTGTCGTCCGGATGAAGACGTGTGTGATACCAGTCTCATGCCTCGGTCACGCCGCGTCCCGGTAGATTCTTCTGTTGTAATCTCACTATTTGTTTTCTCGTCAGCTTCGTCTCGTCTCTTTTCATCTTCTCGTTTTATTTGACCCTCCTGTTTGGCCTCTTTTAATCCTTCTGTTTGTACGTGAATACGTCTTTATAGTTTCTTCATCTTCAAATGTTCTTGAAGAAAACTGCAAAATCCCAAAAGTTAAGACAATAAGAAACACAATTATTTACATTTTCTGTCTTTAATTTATCTCCAGGCTGCAAAAGAGGTCAAAGGTCACAGCTGCTGGTTTCCAAAGTCAAATATAAGAACCAAAACGATGGAGAACAAACCGGGAACTCAGAGGACAAAGACAACAGAGAGAGAGGTGGATCGAAGTGTCTGTTAATCCCATCAGGAATCCCTGAAACAGAGACAAATGACTGCTCGCTAATAGGACAGATTAACTCTGTGTGTGTGTGTGTGTGTGTGTTCAGGTGCATGATGGGATTGGCAGACCTCCAACAGGTCACATTCTGCTTCTGTGTGTAGTTCAAGGTTTGTTTGACAGTGAGAAACATGTTGATTCAAACCGTCTGTCGGGGAGCAGCAAACAGTTAGACCTGAAAGTACAAACAGTTATCAATTAATCAGTCCTTCTGATCAATAACAGGCAGAAAAGTGAAGGAATCAATGAAATTAGGACCATTAAGCAACAGACGAGGATTCAAAAAAACATCCTCATGTAACAAAATGTCCCAAAACGGTCCAAAGACAGACAGAGAAGAACAGGCTGGAGGCGAGAAATTAGTTTTATCTTTTTATTATTTCAATCCAGTAAAACGTGCACAAACCACACACACACACACACACACAGACACACAGACACACACAGACGGTGGCTTCAGCTCCAAGCGTGACTGAAGTAGCAGTTATGAGGTACGGAGTCCAAACTGTGACAAAACTCCTTAAACACACGTGTTATCTGAGTGTGTTTGAGGAGCTTAAGACGTCTCTTCCTCGTACAAAACAAATAAAAAACAATGCTTGCAACATTTGTCCATTTATTGATTAATCTAATCTATTAATTGATGTTTTCTTCATATTAAAAATGTCCAGTGTGTAATATTTTAGGGGATCTATTGTCAGAAATGTAATATAATATTCAGTTTGTTTTATTTAGCGTATAATCACCTGAAGATAATAATTGTGGAAAAACATGAGCTGCATTTGAGTATGTATTGATTTAAATATTACAGAAAGCAACTTTAAATTCACAAATTAAAACAAAATCATAAAAAAAAGCACATTAAAGTGTTAATTCCTGTCTTAAATATAAAATATAAAACTATCAGAACATATACATGCTGTCATTCAGCTCTTCACGGTATGAAACTATCTTTGTTTGATGGTAAACAGTCGTTAAACGGTCGAGTCTTTCAGTCCGACATCCCGTCATCGTGTAAACGCTCTTGTTCAGATCAGAGAATTTTATGAGAATCACAGACGACAAAATTTTGTTTCACGAGACGAAACTGCAGCTTGTGAAATGTATATTTTGTTAAATAACAACAGCAAAAAAATACACGTGAGAAAAAAAAAAAAATCAAATCACATGCTTTTAGTTGGGTAAGGGAACAACTTACTTATTTCAGGGAACAAAAAGTATTTTGTGTTATGAGAACATGGGAACATAGTACTAATACCATCGTGCAGTAACTGTCACTTAAGGGAAAAAGATATTAATTTAGGGCTGATTAAATTTTATATAATAAAATAGGACACTTAAGGGAACAAATTAGCAATGAGAGGGAACAGTTGAGGACACAAATGACACATTTTCAACAAAAAAAAAGGACTCTATTTAGGACCAAATTAGAATTTAAGGCAACAGATAATAAATATAATGGAACAAATTAGTAATTTATATTTAACTTGAGCTAACGCATTGGTCACCTACCCAAACAACTAACTTTAGGGAACACATCACTATTTGAGAGAAAGAAGATATATAATGGCACAAATTAGGGAACTGAAGGGAAATTAAAGGTTTAGTCAGATAAAATGAGCAAAAATCAGTCAGTGTAAGAAGAGGGTTAGTAAAAAAAAAAGTAAATGAAGGGAACAAATGAGTCACTTAAGGGAACAAATGAGTCATTTAAGGGTACAAATTAGTCACTTAAGGTATGGAAGTTTTAATGAAAAGGATTTGAGGGCACAATTTGACAATCTGGGGGAACAGATTAGAAATGTAATCATATGGACAGTTGTAGGGAACAAAATAAGGAATTTTAGGGAACACATTACCCCCCCCCCCATCCGTAAACAGCATCTAAATGGTTTCGTGGCACTGTTATAGTCTTCAACACCTCGCAGTGAACCAGCCGCTTTTCGTAACTTATATTGATTCATATAGTTCAGTAGCATGCATTGACCAACCCCGTCATCACCCAGGGGCGGTGTGTCTCTTCAGCAAGGGGACAGGCTGGTATGAGGGACGACCTGGGAACCGAGTCGCAGGTTTGCCACATGGAAGAGTATAAAAGTAAATATCAAACATCATCTGGCACCAGGCTAAAGATTAATAGCGGAGCTTTACCAACAAGGTATCCCACATTTAGATTTAGAATCCCTTGTGTAAACGTCGACCTGACTGATTTAAAGCTGCAGTTTGCCTCAGCCTCTTTGTTTATTGACAGACGGTCCGAACGCTGAGCCTTGTGACCCCGCCGCTCCGCTTACATCATCAAACATCCAACAGGGCGGAGTGAAGACTTCATGGGCGCCGACGTAAACGGCACACCACACACGACACACACCACCACACAAACAATAATACTGACGTCAGGAAATCAAAGCCATCTCCACAGCTTCAAATTCCAGAAAATTTTTTTCTTATTCTTATAAGTTGACTTTAATCTCCAAAAGTTTAACCACATGGGAAACAATTGTGACTTTAATCTTGAGTCCCTGTTGTATTATTAACCTGACTTTACTCAGAAAATTTCTTTAAAATTGTGACTTGCCCCAAAGTTAAAGTTTTTGGCTTTAGTTCTGAGATTTTACCTTTACATTAAAAAGACTGAAAGACAGAACTTAAAGTTTTCAGTCCACCCGAAACTTCCCACACCACTCCACAAACACACACACACATTAAGATAAAATGTAGTAAAACGAGTTAAAACGGTCATCAAACCAAAGACTTATGTTGCATATCCAGCACTGTCAAAGCAACATGCGACACAGACCTTTACACAAAAATACTGCTAATAAATTAAACCTGTCCGCACGGCTTGGTGCAATTCTTCAGTCCGTTCTGAGTGAGGTCCGATCTCTCCTGCGAGGGTTTTTTTTTTTTTTTTTGTTTCAGCTCGTGTTTCTGTATTTAATGTTCTTCCAGTAGCGATGTGTGGGGGTAGGCACCGGGGCTGCGCGGCTGGGGCGGGCGTTCACAGCACGGGCCTTAAGGCGTCCTCGCTGCCGGGGCGCCCATTTGCGCGGGTGCAACCAGGACTGGGCCCAAACTTCCTGACTCCTTGTTCACCTCCCCTCCCGTGGAGAGAGCAGAATCAATGACATTGAACGCACTGATCATCACATACCTACATCCTAGAAATCAGCAACGCCCTGACGACCTTTGACCCCGTTTTACTCACCGCGTGGCAACCCGTTTGACGCCGAGCATACCCAGGATCCTTGCCTGTTTCGAATGCTCCGGATGTGTTCGCCTGCTCTTTTGGAATGGGCCGACGCTTGACCTCGACACCGCGGCCTTCCCGCCTGTTCTTCTACACATGGCGTGATTTTGGGACCAGAAGAACCCTGAAGAGATACGCGAACACACACGACACACAGATGGCACACCACACACACACACACACACACACCACGTGGTTAAAGTGGTGTGTTGTGTGGTGTGTGTCTTGGGTGTGTGCTGTGGTACGGTGGTGTAGTGTGTGTGTGTGTGGTTGGTTGTGTGAGTGTGTGTGTGTGTGTGATGTGTGAGAGAGTGTGTGAGGTGTGGTGTGGTGTTGTGTGTGTGTGAGCGTGTGTGTGGTTCTGTGTACGTGTGGTGTAGTGTTGTAGTGTGTTGTGAGTGTGTGTCTGTGTATTGTCGTGTGTGTTGAGGTGTGTTGTTTTGAGTGTCGTGTTTGTTCGTGTTGAGGTTGTGTGTGTGCTCGTTGGTGTGTGGTTGAGTGTTTGGGTGTGGTGTGTGTTTGTGTGTTGTTACGTGGTGTGAGTTGTTAGGTGTCTGTGTGGTTTTGTTTTGTGGTGTGTGTGGAGATGTGTTTAGGTGTGTGTGTCGTGTGTGTGTCGTGAGGTGTGAGTGTGTGTTGTTGTGTGGTGGGGTTGGGTGGGTGTGTACGGTTTGTTGGTTGTGATTGGTTGTGAGTTGTTGTTCTGGTGTAGTGTTTGTGTGAAGTGGTGTGTGGTCTGTGGTGTGTTGTGTGAGTGTTGTGAGTGTGGGTGGTGAGTGGTTGTGAGTGTGTGTGTCCCCTTGGTACCGGTGTTTGTAGTGATTGTGTCGGTGGAAGCTGTGTGGTGCTGTGTGAGTGTGTTGGTGTGTGTGGACTGCTGTGTTGAGTGTGTGTGGTCTGTGTGTGTCGTTACGATGTTGTGTGGTGTGCTTGTGTACTATTGTGTGTGTGTTCCGTGAGGTGTGTGTGAGTTTGTTGTGTTTCGGCAGTGCTGTGTTTAGTTGTGATGAAGAGTGTGTGAGTGAGTTGTGTGTGAAGTGTGTACGTGCCCGTGTCGTGTGTGTTGTGTTGTACGTTGAGTTTGGTGGTGTGTGTGAGTGGTGTGTGATCCTGTGTGAGGGTGTATGGTGTGAGAGAGTGTGTGAGTGTGTGTGTTGTGTACGATTGTGTGTGTGTGTGTTGTGTGTATGTGTGCTTGTGGTGACTGTGGTATTGTGAGACGAGTGTTGAATGTGTGTGTGCTGTACGGGTGTATGTGCTGAGAGAGTGCCGTGAGCCCCTGTGTGAGTGGTGTGGTGTGTGTGTGAGTGGTGGTGTGTGTGTGTTTTGAGTGGTGTGAGTGTGTGAGTGTGGTTGGAGTGTGTGTGAATGGTGGTGAGAGAGTGTGTGAGTGGGTGTGTGTGTGAGTGTGTGTGATGTTGTGAGTGGGTGAGTTGTGTGTGAGTGTGAGTGTGTGTGAAGTGGTCGAGTGTGGCTGTGGAGGTGTGTTGTGAGGTGTGTATGTTGAGAGGACTGTGTAAGGGTGTGTGTGCGTTGTGTGTGTGGTGAGTGGTGTGATGTGTGTGAGTGTTGTGTATTGTAAGATGTGTGAGTGTGGTTTGTGTAGTGCCTCCGTGTGGAGTGTGTGTCAGTCCGTGTGTGAGTGGGTGTTGAGTTGTGTATGTGTGAGAGAGTGTGTGAGGGTGTGTGTGTGTGTGAGTGTGTGTGATGTTGTGAGTGTGTGTGTGAGTCGCTGCTGTATGATGTGAGAGAGTGGTGTAAGTGTGTGAGTGTGTGATATAGTGTGAGAGACTGTGTGAGTGTGTGTGTTGCTGAGTGTGTGTGTACCTGGAACATCTCGTTGATGCCCTCCCCGCTCTGTGCCGACGTTTCGAAGTAATGAAACCCTCTGGACTCCGCCCACAGACGGCCCTCGCCCTCGTCCACCACGCGGCGCTTCGTCAGGTCGACCTGCACAGACGAGTTTCTGATTGTGCGTACGTCTCAGCAGCATCACATGTTCACTGACTTTAAATCTGACCACTTTCTATCTCTCCTGAGAGTCTGACCTTGTTGGCGCAGACGACGAACACGATGCTGTCCATGTTGGCCTGAGAGCCCATTTCCTGTTTCATCTCCCCCAGCCAGCTGTCGAGGGCGTCGAAACTCTCCCTGAGGCCGACGTCGTAGACCAGCAGCACCCCCTGACTGTCCTTGTAGAACTCGTTACGCACCTGACGGGTGGAGATAACGTCTGTAACAGCAACACCAGCTGGCAGGTTCCCCACATTACAACACACAGTGTTTTTACAAAGATACAAAATATAAAATGAACTTTTTATGACTCACCTCGTAGAAGAAAGGATGACCAGCCATGTCGAAGATGTTCACTTTGATTTCTCGATCACGTACCTGCACTCTGACAACATAACCGGCGTTACACACCCACACTGCACTGGGACGATGTGAAGCAATGTTTATACTTCACACACAGTCTTTAAGGCTGGCAGACTGTGAACTTACTTGGTGACGCCGTAGTCGATGCCAATAGTGGCCAAGTACTTGGGAACGAACCTCTTCTCGCAGTAGCGTTTGATAATGCAGCTCTGGAAAGGAAAGTGATTCATAATGAGCTCTTTCACACCAGACTTCATTCAGACACGGAGCAGTTTAAAGGTGGGTTACCAAGTGAAGGCTGGACAAAACTAATTATTCAAATTAATTATTAACATTAAGAAGTACGATTTACGTCACATTTTAGGTGAGACTGCTAATTTCAGGGCTTGTTTTAAAAGCATAAATCATAATTATTTTAAAATGACTTCTTTAGCGAAATTCGGCCTAAAACCATAAAAACTATGGAGACATTAAAGAGTTTTAGTTGAGGAGTTGAACGCTGCAGAATGAATGAGAAAACAAATGTTTATATTTAATTTAAAGGATCACTGTCTTTCTGCAGAAACACAGACGAGGTAAACTATAGTTTATGGATATTTTAGAATCACTGGGTTCTCCTGGGACATTTCATACATCAGTCACCATCACAACATCTGCATTTTCATCTGGTTCCTTGCTTCGTTGCTGTTTCTGACTGCAGCGGGAACGATAATTATAAAACTAATTATTCAACATAAACGAGTAATATACAGGCCGAATTAACGAGGACACGTGATTCCTTCGGGATACATCTTTGATTTTGTTTAATTTGTACGATTTATCAGCAACAAAGAAGGAATCCTTAAAGTGACTGATTTTTAAACGGAGTCTGGTGTTGAGATGACCAACAGACATCAGCCCGACTGGAGCCACCAACACAAAACCTACAGCACAATAAACGTTCATCTTTTGAGCTCACACGAGTCTTTAACTCAGTTTTAAACACATATATCGCTGACTGGCTCCACGAAGAAGGCCTGTCACCGCAGTAGAAGCGCCGGAGCTCACATGAGGCTGAAGTCCACCTGAGGTTTGTGTAAAATAAGCTGCCAGTCTCTCACCTTCCCGACCTCTGCGTTTCCGAGGCTGATGACTTTCACCCGCAGAGACTTCTTGTTGTCTCTCCTCTTCGGCGCGTTGGTTTCCATAGTAACTGCCTCTGAACTGACGCTGTTTGCGGTGAAACTGTGCGGGTTGCTAACGAGGAGCCCTGTGTTAGTGACAGCTGCTGCTGCTGCTGCTGCTGCTGCTGGCAGCGCGGCTAACAAGTCGTCAGTAAACCGTCTCAGTAATTCGCCCTGAAAGTGTGTAATTATCGCATTAATCAGTCAAACAGCGTCGTTTTACGTTAGCATCAATGCTAATGTGTAGTTTCAGCTGCTAACCAGCTGTTAGCGTAGCCGCCTTCTAGTTCCGCTCGCTCCTTTCAAAATAAAACGACTGACGTTGAAGTTAATCTTCCTCTCTCGGTTTACTGGAGTTGGTGAGTTATTAAACTGCAATCTCTTCAAATAACTTCAGCTAATCCTTAATTTACCCCCGAACAAAACACCAAACACGGTTATATAACGGAAACTTTTAGGTGTGGCGGCCGGAGATCCCTTAACTCGTCTCTTAATTTGAAAAGGTGAAACCATTCATTAACAGAGGAAGTAAATTTAAACTTAATTTATACATTAATGTAAAAGATTAAACAAGTACATTATATAATTAATATATATATACATGTAAGATATGTTTATACAGTTTATATTTTCTATACATATGTTGTGTTAAATATTGTAATATCTGATTTTAACGTTCTATATTATTATTATTTCTATTTCTATTATTATTATTTCTTAAACATATATATAATTAAAACATATATATATATTTGAAAGGATCATTATTCAGTATTCAGGTATTTCATATTGTGTGAATTTATGGATAAATAAGGAGTTTTAATGCTTTTCTGTGTAAGTCCAGGGGTATTTAAGAGGTAAACATATTAAACATTATGTTTACAACAGATTATAATATACATACAATACACTGTTGTGCAGTTCAGTTAGTGTTTTCTGTTTCTGTCCACCAGGAGGCAGAAGTTGCATTTGTAAAAGAAAATCCACCAGATTGCTTTAATTTGTCTTTATTTATCAGGATTTTTATGATACATTTTAATACCAGAAGTAAATAGCTTTTACAGAGCAAAGATATTTATACGGAAACATCACAATAAATGTTTAGTTTCATTAATTCTCAGGAAAATATCAGAAGGATAAAACAAATGGATATAAAACACAAACCTCAGTTATTACAGGTCATAAAGAAAATCATCAAAACAAAGCTAAATAAAGTAAAACTGTACTTAAAAAGGAAACTTAAAGCTGCACTATATGTTTTTTAAATTCTACAATAAATTCTTAAAGGTTTAAAGTCCTGCTGTCTGAATCCGTCCCGCAGTGGCCCGAGTTCGATTCCAGCCTGTCAATGTTAGGCTCCATTAAAGGAACAAAAACCCCCAAAATAAAGCTGCCAAAACCTTTTTTACTGTCTAATGTATGGAAGCCCAAAGAGTCCAATATTGAATACATAAATAAAGATCAAATATGTGATTTAACAATGTGTTTTTTTATATATTTAAATAAAAATGAGCCATAAAATTATTTTATTGTGAAAAGAAGAAGCAGGATGGAGAAATATTTTCAGAATAATGAAGCATGTTTCAAACATTACTGGATTCTTTCACAATTTAATGATTATTTTACATATTTTGTCTGTATTTATTAATATCATTGTTTATTTATTATTTTAACCCCGAACTCTCTGGGGCTCCACACTAATGCAGCTTTAAGTGTCTCCATATTTTAATAAAACTTAATGAGAAATTTAAGAACTAAAACATCGATCGCAACTCAATGCAAGTAACAAACACACAAACGTTCTACTGTTACTAAAACTGATTTCCGGTGCGTTTTTTAAAGTCAAACTCTAATTCTTTTGGCCTTTTTTAATTAATTAAGATTTTCAGGCTTTTTCTTTTTAGGTGTTTAGAAGAAACCTCACCGGCAGTGCTGAACGCAGGCTGGTAGACATACTGAGGCTCAACTGCGGGGGGGTTTGGGGCATCAGAACATTTAAGTTTTTAGGCAATTATGTCCCGACTTCCCAAGCTCATTTCAGGCACTGGATACGTTAACGTGACAAAAAACAAATGGATCCATAAAACATAAAAAAACATCTTTTGTTATTTAACATAAACGCTTTAAACATGCAGGACACAGTTCTCAGGATGTTCTCTGCTGTTAATGATCATCTGTGATCCTGGATCTGGTATCATTAGGTACCTGTGCAGCCCACTCCCGGCCGATACTCGGGCGGCGTTACGAGGTTCATCGCTGCAACATCGTTTCCGTTGCTGCTTTGAAAGATAAATACTGGATCGAGTCGTCTGCTTCGGATGTAACTTAGCAACCGCTGGAGGAGTTCGGAGAGCCTCCGGACGGTTTCAGAGTCATCAGGATGTGTTTTTAAGAGTCGTCTTTGTAGCAATTGGAAATAAATTTGGGGCGTATGTGGATAGAAATGACAGCATAATTAATCACAATCCATTAATTAGCCTTTAAAACACCACAATTAATATTATAGATGTTATAGCCGATTAAACAAAAATACTAATTTCTCTCCAAGAACTTTTGAATCTACTAAATAAAAAGAACTGAAACCATTCTTGTTATAAAATCCAAACTATTGGTCTTAAACAGATGTTTGTGTTTTTCTGTTGAGGCTGACAGGAAGCGGGAAAGAATCCTCCGGGATCACGACGTCCGGACACCGTTAGCGCGTGGTGAGCGGCTTCATCTGAAGGGAGTCGTAGGTGTCTTTGGTGGCCGAGCTCAGACCCTGAAGAGACGATAAAAGGTCGGTTGTTCCAGTAAATAGACCACACCTATGTACCAATATATGAAATATTCAGTTTATTGATCGGGATTGATGACTCACCTGGTACACCTGTTCGTTCTTTCTGTGACGCTGCTGGTTAATAAAGAAAATGTTAATATCATAATAAATCAGATAAATTCATAAATTCTACTTCTGTTCACTGAAATAAATCAACTGTAAAAAGATAAAATCTAATTAACGAGTAATTCCAACAAGATTTAAATCATTTTAATGATTAATTTGAACTTTGTTTTGTTAAAGAGATGTTAAATAATAGTATATATAATAATGCAGACTCACCTCTCTTTTAATAGGCAGCTCCTTATATTCTCCCTCTCCCGGCTTTTTGGTCAAACCCTGAAATAAAAAAACAAACATATTATTTAATACTGAAATGTTCTTTTTTACATTAATAATCGACATTATGGATAAAACCTTACAAATCTTTAGCAATAATAATCTTATGTGTTGATTAAATTACTAACTGCTGGTAGGAGATGAAGTTAAAGTTAAAGTAAACTGAAAGGTTACCGTATAGGTGGAGTTGTCGTCCACCGGTCTGCGGTTCTATAAAACAGAACACATTTTATCAGGAGTTTTAATAAATCAGGTTCTTTAATCATCTGAAGAACTTCTTTTAATAAAGCAGGAATATTTCAGGGTTCTCGTAAGACTTGAGGGTTGAGGGTTCCTTTAATGTTTTGGGGTTCTTTCAAGGTTCTTTAGACCGATTCAAAGATTAGGTTCTTAAATCATCCATAGAACAGATTTTAAGGTTATTCAGTGAGACTTTTTCAGTTAGTTCAGGTATCTCAGTAGGATTGTTCCTGTAAGTGAGTAAGAGTTCTTTAAAAGGTTCTTTAGTGATCAAAAGGGTTTCTGGGTTCCATATACATTTATTTCAGGGTTCTTTTAGTTTGTTTCTGTCAAGGTTCTCTGAAATTCATATGCTAAGGTTCTAATAAATGATCTAATGAATTGTTCTTTAATCAGGTGTTTTCAGGTTATTTGTTTAAATTCAGGGCTCTACAGGGTTCTATCAAAGGTGCTTCAGGGGGATTTTTCAGTTTATTGTGATACTTGCAGGGGTTTATTGGGGTTCTTTAGGTTCTTTTGAGTTCACAGGGGCTCATGTTCATTATACAGTAGGACCTGAGAAACTGGGTTCTTTTAACCGGAAGGTTGTCGGTTCCTCAGTGATTGTCGTTTTAAAGTTGTTTTAATCTAGTTCATCGATGTTCTTTCCATGTTTTGCAGAGCTCTTAGTCCCACATTCATTCCCACCATTATTTTATGGTTCTTTTGGGTTCTCTAGTGTGTTGGGGTTCTTACATGGTCCTCTTGAGTTTATAGGGAGTCTAAAGGTTTTTTAAAGAGTTTTTCACTGTGTTTAGGGATCTTTTAATGCTCCTTGGGGATTGTCCATTTATTGTGACAATAATTAACACAGAGAACCTTGAGAGAACCGTAGAAAGACCTTATAGTTGCTGCTGCAGGATAGAGAATAGAGAGAGAACCGGTACAGGGAACGTTCTGAAAGCAAAAACAGAGTAAAGACTCACTCTTCCTCTCTCAGGATCTCCTCTCAGGAGGTCGTAAGGATTGTCTCGGTTCTGGTTGTGCAGATCCTGAACACAACACAAATACTGAGGTTTTCTGTCCACATGATGAAATAAATACACCTCTGTTCATAGGTTCAAACAAATGAATTTATCGTTGCAGCTTACAAACTGGTTCTTGCTGAGATTAGTAGTTACCAATATTTACAGCCTCTAACAGCTACCGTGACTTCCTGTCTGATTGGGCCGCTGCATGAACTCAGTTTCCATAACGTTACATAAACAGCGTTAAAGAATAAGAAACTAATGACACTGGAACTGTGGACAGTTGATATTTGTAGTGTTTGGTGACTCACGCTGTAGATGCTCTCGTCTGTTGCCTTCGCTTTGGTTCTGAAGAACTAAAAACATCAACAAAAGAAAAAGGAGAAATCAGTGGTACGGCCCTTTAAATCTGAACTGTGGCTGAATTAGCCCTTCTTAAGCCCCGCCCTCTTTTGCTCTGTGCTCCAATCACAGTTGAGAACCTCAGTCAACTTCCTCCTTTCCTGTACTAAGATATGCTATGCTAGGCTAATCTATGTTGAAAGACAACCACATTTTGAAGATGGTTCAAACATAAAGGAGACACATATACATATATATATTAAGTCACATCTTAAGATAGCTAATGTTAAAACGCTAGCTAATAACATAACTAACAATTGATAAGATAAGATGTTCTTTTATTATTTGAATTTATTTAGGAGAAATTCAAAATTAAATTGACATAGCAGAATAGGGGAATGTAGTGCAAAAGAAAGAGTACAGAAGTGGAGGTACAACAAGATATCACAAAATAAAATATTACAAAATATAATAGAAAATATAAACTATAAATGAAGTATATACACTGTATACTATATTAAAGTAGGAATGGTTGCAAATATTTGAGCAGCTTGACTAAAACTAAACTGTACATGTAAAAATGAAATAAAAATAGTTGGTGCGTTGTAGGTTAAAGTTTAAACCAGTCTTAGTCTGCTGGAGGTTGGAGGTACTGGGAGCTGTGGTGTTGGTTTTGTGGAGGTTTTTACTGGGGAAAAAAGCCTTGTTGTTGTGGAGGTTTGGAGGTACTGGGGAGGGCCTTGTGGGGTTTTTTGTGGAAAGGTACTGGGGAGCTTTCTGTGGGGTTTTTTGTGGAAGGTACTTCGGGAGCTTGTGGTTTGTGGAGGGGTTTGGCAAGGGTACTGGGAAAAAGCTTCGTGGTTTGTGGAGGTACTGGGAACGCCGTTGTTGGGTGTGTGGAAGGTTTGGAGGTTAAGCTGGGAAAAAGCTTTGTGGGTTTGGTCGGAGGTACTGGGAGCTTTTTGTTTTTTTTGGTTTTGTGGAAAGGTAACTGGGAGCTGTGGTTGTTTGGAGTCATAGATGGTAACTAACTTTAAGCCTCCCAAGCTCCTCCCCAACAAGACCAACAGCAGCAAGAAAGAAAAAATGAGCGCCAACTGTACAGCCCCCTTCCCTCCAGAGAAAGAAAAACACCTGCTTCTTGACCTTTCCCTGTTAAGAAGGGCCTTCAAGTGGGTTCCGTCAAGTCCCCAGTTTTTTTGTTTGTTTTTGGAGTGTCATACAAACCCCCCGTGAACGTTTTTA